CGTTTTTTGCTATTCCCCATAATGTTTGATTTAAAAAAATAAAAAATAAAATTATAGCTCCTTACGCAAGTTCTCCGGCGAAAGATAATTACTCCGCTCAAAATCTGTTTCTTGTATTACTCATTAGCTGATCCAAAGCTCAAGGCTATCTCTCTCTCTCTCTCTCTCTCTCTTTCTCTCTCTCCCATGCTCCTCCTTTTCCTGTTTACACCGTTTTCTTGTCTTCTTTGCTCTTTTCTTTCCTCTCATGCTATTAGTCTTCTTTCATTTCCATCACTTCTTCTCTGCTCCCCCTCTCGAGTTCTATTTCTCTCGTGAAATTGAAACGTAAAGTAATACAATCATGTAGTACATTCTTGTTTAGAATAATATTTTCAATAATATCCAGTCCATTTTCTAAAGGTTTCTTTCCTTTAGTTAAGTGTATGTAGCTTTAATATATATATATGTTAGTGTGTAAAACACTCCGTTTCATTCGAGTACTTTGTTTTCACTGAATAATTTAAGGGACTCACGAAGCCACCGGAAGAAGAGCAATTGGCTTATCATGAAGAACTAACATCAAACTGCAACAAAATGATTTGTATAAATGTGAATAAGCAGAAAGGTTGCCATCTCATTTTCCCGTCTGAATGGGTTCTCTTCCTTACGTATATAAGTGCCCTTATTTTCTAAACTTCCATGATGACCTAGTACATTGTATAATGCTTTACCTAGTAAGATGCATTGATCGAGGTAATTTCAGGTATTACATATTGATGAGCTACTTGAAATTAACTAGGAGGTATGCGCGTATTGGGGAATGTGGCTTGCTGCTCTACTTTTTTTTTAAAACTTCCCACGACATGTAATGAGTGTTTAGTATACATTATATGGGACGTACAGTGATAGATGGAAAGTTATTTCAGTATATTCGAAATGACTTTTAGGTAACTCCTTTTTCCTCCCACTTCATCAACATTCATTCATTTCATTTCATCTACATTATTTCAAGAAATGCATTCAGAAAATGAAGAAGAAAAAAAGAAACGAAAAAAATAGGTGTAAAGAAAATATTGTCGGCGAAGCATTTGTCGTAGTACTAGTAGCATTTGTAGTTTATGGGACACTTTTTGGGCGGAGCAAATGTCGTCGGAGCAAATGTCACCGGAGCAATTATCGCTTCAGGCGGAGCAATTGTCGGCGGAGCAATTGTCGGCGGAGCAAATAGCGGTGGAGCAAATGTCGGCGGAGCAAATGTCGGCGGAGCAATTGTCGCTTCAGGCGGAGCAATTGTCGGCGGAGCAAATGTCGGCGGAGCAAGTGTCGGCGGAGCAAGTGTCGGCGGAGCCAATGTCGGCGGAGCAATTGTCGCTTCAGGCGGAGCAATTGTCGGCGGAGCAATTGTCGCTTCAGGCGGAGCAATTGTCGGCGGAGCAATTGTCGGCGGAGCAAATGTCGGCGGAGCAAGTGTCGCTTCAGGCGGAGCAAATGTCGGCGGAGCAAATGTCGGCGGAGCAATTGTCGCTTCAGGCGGAGCAATTGTCGGCGGAGCAATTGTCGGCGGAGCAAATGTCGGCGGAGCAAGTGTCGCTTCAGGCGGAGCAAATGTCGGCGGAGCAATTGTCGCGTTTTGCGGAGCAATTGACGGCGGAGCAATTGTCGGCGGAGCAATTGTCGGCGGAACAATTGTCGGCGGAGCATCTGTCGGCGGAGCAATTGTCGGCGGAGCAACTGTCGGCGGAGCAACTGTCGGCGGAGCAACTGTCGGCGGAGCATTTGACGTCGGAGCAAATGTCGCGGAGCAAATGTCGCGGAGCAATTGTCGCGTTTTGCGGAGTAAATGTCGGCGGAGCAATCGTCGGCGGAGCATGTGTCGGGTTACCGATAATGAAGTGTCTATACCTTGGGTAGAACAATTTTTCACAGTCAAGTGATCAAAATTCACATACTCTTTCTGCTTATTTTGCAAAGTAAGAGTCTGGAGCAATAATAGCTATTTATCAATGGCGCGAATGTATCAACTGCTATGAATACAGGGTATTATCATTATCATTACATCGTGTTTTCAATGTGATATTGACCCATCCTATATTTCGCTGTAAGGCAAGTCAATACGGTTCAAGAGAATATTAAATCTTGTTTCTTGTCGGGAAAAGTTGGTAACGGATAAACTCTTTTCATGTATTACGTTCTCTTCTTCCCAATTGGGTTCACGCGGAGATAATTATTCCAGGTTTAATTGCTTGTTGTTCCATCACGGCAACCAAAAGACAATACCGCCGTAATGAAGACAAAATATCAACAAATCATCTTTCCTGTTTTATCTTGTTTTCATATTAAAGAACAATTAAAACAAAATGAAAACCTCGTTTGAAATATAGGAATACAATCTCGAAAGTTTTGTTTAAACTACTATATCGTGTGGATTCCACTTTAATTTGGATATTACTATTTCTTTTTCATATCAATCACTTATATTGAAATTTCTCCAAAATATATTTGATTTCTTATAATACTTTTTCAAAACTAATGACATTTATCTTCCTTATCGTGACCTCAAATGGTTCAGATTTGATTGCAATCAAAATGGAAGCTAAAATTACACAAACTTAGATGCTTACATTTGTTTTTATATTTGATTTTAATTATAGATATGTTGTATTTATAAAATTCAAATTGGTAATGTCCATGGGGGTCACATCCACAAGCATTATATCCACAACAAACTTTATGACAAAATGAGCATATTCTGATAGATGAGGGTACTGTAATAGCTGTGTATTACTTGCATTTTTCATTCTGCTTGTTTTGTATTGATAAGTTATTTCCTTATTTATTTTTTACTTGTTTGGGGGGAGGGGTTCATAGATAACTTTTTTTTTTATCACACCTTTTAAATGGCAACGGCCTGTTATGTTACTTGAAATGACTCAAATTGTGATAATAATCATACGGACAGCTAAAGTTATTAAATGCATATACCATTTGTTTAATATTATTGAAATTATAGTATTTTTTTAAATTCCAATATTTCTTGATTTCCTGTATTTATGTCAATCACTGCTTTATGGCAAAGAGAAATATTACCATATCCTAAAGGCCCTAGAAAACAGAATCTAATCGCTTGAAATTATGCAAACTTCATATTTAACAGGTTTTAACAACTTAGTTCAGGGTTTTTTAAAAGTTTGGTTGTCTTTTATTTTTTGTTGTCTTCATGTTTTATATGTTTTAAAAACATATGAAGTCATTATTTTTATCATCATTATTACTACTTATACCGCGCTTTTCCAATAAGGCCCAAAGCGCTTATAGTAATTAAAAAATACATCAATACATGTAATAAGAAAAACAATCTTACAACTACTAACTGCAAAAAAAAAATGTGAGTTTGTAAGGCCTTTCTGAAGGTAATAACTGATTAAGACTGTTTGATTGATAGTGGTAGATCATTCCAATATTTTGAAGCAGATAGAGTAAATGTCCTATCACCGGCTAATGTGCGAGTAACTGAATTGAGACGAAGAGGATCATTTGGTGACCTCGATACCATGGTAGGTGCAGGCGCGTATACAGGGGGGGGGGGGGGGTTTACCCCCCCCCTCCTTTGGTATTTTTATGTGTGTAAACCCCCCCCCCCCAATAAAAAAAACCTTTGTTTTTGTTAATTATTTAAAAAAAAAAAAAAAAAAAATTTACATGGCCGACCTAAAACAGGTGACCCCCCAACAAAGCAAAATGTCAAATTTTCAAATTTCGTGACCAAAAAAAAAAAGAAAAGTGTCCTCTTAACCCCCCCCCCCCCGCTTATTCAGCGCAGCGGTCGGCTGAGTCGTTCCGATTTTTTTGGGACCAAAAAAACAACAAAAGTGTCCTCTTATAACCCCCCCCCCCCCCCCGCTTATTCAGCGGCTGGCTGAGTCGTTGCGAAATTTTTCGGCCCGATTTATAAATGTTAACCCCCCCCCCCCCCCTTGTAAAAATTCTGCGTGCGCGCCTGGGTAGGTGTATACAAATTCAAACACATATCTAATTATTGTGGAGCTTGATAATTAAGTATTTTGTAGACAAACAAGCGTAATTTAAAAATTATTCTACGTTTCAAGGGAAGCCAGTGTAATGATCTCAAGAGTGACCGAGATGGATGGTCCCTAGAAACACGAAATATCAATCGGGCTGCCCATTTTTGTAGCCGTTGCACACGATCCAATTTAGTCGAGGGAATGGTAGAGAGAAGCCCATAACAATAATCAATACGGGATAGAACAAAAGAACGCACATCATTATGGCAGGCAGACTGGTCAATAAACCTACTTACAATGTGTTTCTTTATATTTAAATGAGAAAATATATGACATTTCCCAAATTATAATGTTCTTGATCAGTTACCATGGTAATAGCCCCATTGGTCGTTTCCACCACAAACTTAGGGCCAATGAAATCATTCTGATGGGAAGGGTCCTAACTAACAGATTACATTTCATTTAGAATTGTGTGTCAGGAGGTGGGTGCCTTTTCAGTTTGCGGCCCATGGACTTATACTGATCATAATGGGGGAATTACAATGTACAGTATGTACGGTATATTTTTCACTCAAAAGGCGCATCCTGTATATTTGGGGTAACAAAATGACTTATCTTTCTTTGTGTTTCTTACACGTTAATTTCATTTCTAACAGATTTTAGAGATTATTTATACTAAAAACCGTTTTAATTTTATAATTCACTTTGAGACCACCTTTATGTTCATCTTTTTATAAATGATAAAAATCTTCAAAATCTACTAATACTACTCGACGGTGTTCCATTGATTAAGGTGTTGTGAGCTAAATGCTTACAGTCTACTGGCAACTTGTCGTAGGGTTAAAAGGCATGTTTCGCCAGAAAACAATTCCATATCAGATTTGAAGAGTACCTGTATTACTCTGCCTTAATCACAGAAAATGAGATCTAGGGTATGTACTAGTGATTTTCATTTTTAAATTTGTCTCTTAACTTTTCAACTACAAAATCATGTAGGAATCCGTCGCTGAGATCACCCGTTCCTTCTCAACTCTCGAGCTCGTCGCGAAGAATCCATCAATGATGGCGAAGATCCACATTGCTGACTCTCTCGAGACCGAGTTCGAGCTGGGAGAACCTGAAAAGACACGACGTCGAAGGGAGCTTGACCCGCTCCCATCATCTGGTGCTCAGCAGCAAAGCGTGGTTCAGAACATATTCGGACCATACTCATGGCCTACATTTTCTGGTAAGAACACCAGGTTCTAGTTTCTTAAAAGTTTGTTTTATTTATTTAACCTCGGTTAAAACACCTGCTATCAGCCATAAGTCTGTTTTCAGCAAGTCCGTTGAAAACATTAACACAATTTACATAAACCAAACAAAAATAATTCATAATAGAATTTGAAATAACAAGAATTAAATATGTGTAAATAACTAGTAATAACAATCACACTTAGGATTTTGAACATGAGAAATTATGAAGAAAACAAAATGTATATAATAAAGTCAATTCAAAAGCACCTAATCATATCACGAATCATCAGAGGTAAATTGAGTGAAAGAGTGTGGGAGCGAGGGAGAGAGAGAGAGAGAGATGAGAAGAGAGAAAAAAAGATAGAGAGAGAGTTGAGAAGAGAGAAAAGAGAGAGACAGAGAGATAGAGACAAAGACAAATAAAGACGATAACAATTAGAACGTAGGGGAGAAATACCATCGATCGGCTTTATAAAGTTTTAAAGCCGATTTGTTGTTGTTGTTGATTGAATAGCCGAGATGAGATATAAAGAGTACTGCTTTTAAGACAATTTCTGTTCGGTTTAGGTATGTTAATACTGTAGTACATTCTCCCTGTTTCTAAGGTTATAACTTTCTTTCAAAATGACTTTAGTAGAGAGAATATCTGGTACTTCATTGTTAAGTATTCTGTACATAAGTATAACCAGGTCCTTTTTAACTTTAACATTAAGACAATCAAGTTTTAATATACTGTTAAGTTCATGACTGTTGAAGCGAGAATCTACCCAAAGCACTAATTCTGATGCCCTTTTTTAATATCTGAAGCTTATTACGTGCCCTGAATCGGGCTTTATCCAAATCGTACTATATACTATAGTCAAAATGAGGTCGAATCAACAAATTACATTAAAGGAGAGCACTCCCTTGATCGATAAATGGCCTAGCTCTTAGTAAGATGAAAAAGTTCCGTTATATTGTTGATTTTGCCCTTTCCATTTGTGGTGTCCTTGACAAATCTGTATCAAGTACATGTATAGCACCGAGATATTTACATTGATCGACTCTCTCTACGAGACAATTGTCAATACAAGCATTAATGTTCTCAAAATTTGTACGTTTACATTTTGTTCCTATGACCATAAGCTTACATTTCATTGCATTTAGCATTAGCTTATTATGATGTAATCAATCATAAATAACAATCAAATTTTCATTAATTATACACTAAAGACTATTTGGAACTCTGATGCATAGTATAAACATGTGTCCTCAGCAAACAATGATATAGGCTACAGTGCTACGCTTGACAACAAGTGGTAAATCCTTCATGTACAATATGAATACCAGTAGCCCCGATATACCTCCCTGTGGGACGCCACAAAATACTTGGTAAGCTTTTAATAACATTTGCCAAGTTTCTATGAGAAATTTCCTCTCAGCCAATCAAATGCAATGATTTCAGCATAATTAAAATAGTAATTGTAACTAGTTATTATAACAAATCTAATGAAACAGAGACCAGAAGTTTTTTTCTTCTCCAATGCCCATCACACACGAAGGCTCACCTGTGAAGAAAGTTAGTTCGTGCGCCAGGAAATCAAATGTTCATGTTGCATGAACCTTTCGAATGATGATACTCTCACCAGGCACGTCAAGCAAAAAAAAGGACACCTCACATGCCTTGTGGCGCATAAAAAGGCAGCATGTAACACTCAGGGAATCGACCTCAAAACTTCCAAAATAAAATCGGAAACCATTGCATTAGACTGGGTAGTACTTTTAAACAGATTCGTCAACTAGAAGAAAAGAGAAAAATAAGAGAGCCCTGAGTCCTAAAGCGAGCTTACAAAGTCAGGGATCGTGTTCGTTGGCCACGTTAGTCCCTTTGAGTCCAAACATACGATATATCGCAAGCAAGGGAGCGGGGCTGGGTCTGGCAGGGGGTCAGAATTCCCTCCTAGAGTAGGAAGCATTTGCAATTTTTAGAACCACATTAGGCGTATTTTGAGGCACTTCACGGAGTAATATGACGTAAATTGCTTTCTCCTACCCCCTCCAAGAGTAGGGATCTTTTGCAATTTGAGAAACACATTTGGCGGAGTAATATCCAGCGGCACTTCCTGGAAAAAACGAAGCCTTCTGATTGGTTAGAAGTTAGAGAAAAGTGATCCGTCAAGTCACGAGACGTTGTATATGCTTCGTTTCTTGGGGGGGGGGGGGGGGGGGGAGGCCTAAATTTGAAATCAATGCGTCAACTAGAATAAATGTGAAATTATCAATGGAACTTTGACGTAGGCCTGTATTAACCAGGAGAATATCTTTCAGACAGGGCTATTTTGCCTAATTTTTGTTTATACCTCGCAGATCATTAAACTTGATATGAAATACATATGCTTGTTCTTCGTTAGGCCAATGTTTCATGTGCCCTACTGGTGTTCCTGGACAACAAGGTCCCCCAGGCCCACAGGGAACTGCCGGAAGAGACGGCAGAGATGGACGGGATGCACCGGAAAGTCCCCAAGGTAGGCCTATAACATTTGTGACATTGTAATAATTCAAGCTGGAGAATGCATGGCTAGCGAAAATTAAAATCCAATTTATTGGAAAAACACTGCGGATATTATAACTCATTTGTTGTCTTTGGCAATTTACTCAATGAAGAGATACTATAGTCCAATATAAAAAAATACAATATGAACATTGATAGTTGGACGTCACCCAAGGGTGTTTTGTGTTCCATTCTTATGTAAAAACAGCCGCCGCTTATAAAAAAGCATACTTGCAATTAGTAATTTATAATAAGGAGAACATAAGCCGGACAAATAACACAAACATAGCCTTTTTTCGGCTTTAAAATTTACCATATTTGATACTATCAATTATCATATCAATTCTATCTATGGATTCCAATAAGTAAAGTTTCTTAAATTTTAACATTTTAGCTGAGGAAACAACCACTTCACACAAGGACCAAACAAACACAACTGAATTTCCTTTTTATAAACTCGATTAAATTTACCACTAATAATGCCATTCCATAAACTTTGAATATAGATGCCAAACGTCTGGAATACAGTTGATTATTGTGTCTGTTGGATTCCGATAAAACTTCTGAATGTTTAACATTTTAGCTCAAGAAACCCCAACTGAATCCTGCGATGACGCGGTAGTGCGTCCAGTAGGTAACATGACAAGTCTACCTGGTGTCATCTATATTCGCTGGGGCAACGATGTATGTCCCGAAGATGCAGAACTCATCTATTCAGGTTGGTACAGATGGGTAATATCACGTGGTGTGAAATTTCCTAAACATGTTTTTGACACCACATCGCAAGGACTTTCTAAAAAAGAAACCACAGGCAATCTAAATAACCTTGTCCGTCTGTCATATTAAAATGTGCGAATACTTTAACGTATTTGAAACATGGTAGGAAACTCAGGGAATGAAATATCTGCGAGTTAATTTTTCGAAAGTCTTTGCTAACTTGTTTCAATGTTAGTGTACTCCATAATCAATTTAATGTTGTGCAACAAAAATGTCTTCATCGCCACAAACGAAACACATGCATTCAATATCCTAACTGGCTGAAACTTAAGTGCACAAGAATGGTGAGGGTTTAGTGAATGTACACAAGTATGCCCAGGTTCTTTGAATTATTGTAATGCTCATTTATCAAAAATGAAAATAATGAGTATTAAAAATGAAAATAATATTAAACTAAATATCATGCTATAACAAAGAGATCATTAACATTCATTAATGTAAAGGTATTAATAATAGCTGCAATTATATTGCACAAATATCAATCCTATGGGATGCTCAAGGCGCCTACAAGTACTTAAATTACCTTGGCTTAATAGCCCAGCTGCCCTTAAAAACGCTAAATGCATTTAAGGAATAATTGTCTACCAGGTACCTATAGATAAATTATCCTTGGCAAAGGACACTAGTAGGGGCTGGGACTCGAACAGCAAACCATGTGCTCAACTTTCCGCTGAGGTACCGCTATACTACGACACCCCTTTCCAAATTGTTTGGCAAATGAGCTATGTGTATCCCATTACCAGGGGCGGCGAGTTCTTTTCATGTCCGGCGGGACGAAATGCAAAGGACGATAGCGCGGTGGCGCAATGAGCAAACTTTTTTTTGTTGTTTTTTTTGTTGGGGGGGGGGGCAAAAAAAAATCCGCATCGCCACCACTCTTAAGCCCCAGTCCCATATAAAGCCGGACCAGCACAGACGAGCACGGACCACTCCGGACCATCCCGGACCATGGTCTGGGGTGATCCGGGATGGTCCGGGATGTTTTGTTCAAAAAATCGCAACCGCCGACCGTCTCCCCGGACCCAACACGGTACCACTACGGACCGCCCCGGATCGTCCGGGCATAGCCCCGGCAGCAGTACAGATCATTCCAGATCCAGCACGGAGCCGCCACGGACCGTCCCGGACCACCCCGGTGCCAACACGGTGCCAACACGGATGACACCGGACCATTCCGGTGCCGACACGGATCATCCCGGAACGCCCCGATGCTGGTCCAGGGTGATCCGTTTCGCCACCGTGCTGGGTCCGGGATCATCCGTAGGGGCGCCGGGGTGATCCGGGGTCAATAACTCACTCCCGGACTGCCACGGATCAACACGGACCGCTCCGGCGCCACTACGGATGACCCCGGACCCAGCACGGTGGCTACACGGATCACCCCGGATCAAACTATTGTCCCGGACCGTCCCGGACCACCCCGGCAGTTTTTGACCGTCAAAAACATCCGGGGTCGACTCCCGGACCGCCCAGGACCATCCAGGACCATCCAGGACCATCCAGGACCATCCAGGACCACCCCGGTGCCAACACGGTGTCAACACGGTCCGAATCCCGGATCACCCCGGATGGGGTCCGGGATGGTCCGGGACGGTCCGGGACGTATATGGGACTGTAGCTTAACATGTTACATGCAGTCCCCGCGGAATGTTTTTTAAAGTGGGGGGGGGGGGGGGGGGCTAAATCATTTACGATCAGGTAGAGCAAAGCGAGCGAAGCCAGTGGAGTGTAAATTGGCGTGGGGTTTAGGGGCAAAGCCCCGGCGGGGATCAAGGGGCGGAGCCCCATGAAGCTCAGGGGTTTTAGGCATTTAATTACGGTCAGATGAGCATCCAGGAGCCCGCCTTAGAGCCCCCGGAAGCTCATGGGTTTTAGGATTTTAATCACGGTCAGATGAGCAACCAGGGGCCCGCCATAGGGCCCTTGGTGGGGTCCTGGGGGCAGAGCCCCGGAAGCTCAGGGAAAATCATGCCATTTCAGCAACATTGGTAAATCACTGGTATTGAATTAGAAATAAACCACGTTTGAATTGTATTGAGGGGGGGGGGGGGGGAACTGCCCCCAAGCCTCCCCCTCTGTCAGTACGCCAGTACGAGGGAGCATAGTGAACGAGAGGGGTGAGGGTGACGGAAGTGACTACCCCCTCACAGGTTTTTGAAGTTTTGTTGTATCAAAAAATTACATTCCTTAGCAAAACTATATCATAAAAACTAGCAATATACTTTTTTCACACTTCACTTTTCTACAATATTTACTTGTACATTTTGAAGGATATTATGCGAGGGAGCGTAGCTCCCGAGCGAGAAGATGTTCACATTTTTATTGGTCTAAACACTGCACTCTTGGGCCCTCCAGAGCCTAAAAGTGTGTCGCAGTCTTTAGTCGGTATTTGCTATACATTATTTGTTTTCATTTTTAATTTTTTTTCGGGGGGGGGGGCGATCCCCCCTAAACAAATTGAGGGGGGGGGGGAGTCCATCCGTCCCCCCGGAATCGCCGCCCCTGCCCATTACCAACCATGATGATTAGGCCAAGTGCAAAATTCAGATGCCGTCACGGGCTGTAGAGGTGTCGTAGATTATGTCATCAGGCAGTAGATCATATGGTTCGAGTTTCGAGTCCCAGCCCCATACCAATGTCCCTTGCCAAGAACATTTATCTATATTTGCAACTCTCCACAAAGGTTTAGATGGGTACCTGGTAGGAAATTATTCCTTGAACGTTCTCCGGAGTTGCCTTTAGTGGTTGTCATTGGTCCTACATGCTACATCATTCTTAATTTAGATTCCGATGAATTTAAACTTAAGTGGGTTTACCTTTGTGTGCGTTATATTCCTTTGTGATTTATTCAGGTACTATTGGAGGTGCACACTACACTCATTCTGGTAGCGGCTCAAATTATCTCTGCATGCCGGAAGAGCCAATCTATGACGAATTTATAGCTTCTATAGATGTATACCGAGCCATACTATACTCCTCTGAATACGAAGTCAATACTGGTCCTTCACGCATGCAACCAAAGCACGACCAGACTCCGACCTGCGCAGTCTGCAGGGCGCCCTCTGGCCGCACCAGCAAGCTTATGATCCCTGCCCGCAACGTATGTCCTTCTCAAGAGTGGCGTTTAGAGTACGCTGGATATCTTATGGCAGAGTACAACGGACACCAGAAATCGGAATTTGTGTGTGTGGACCGAGAGATGGTTTCTAAATCGGGGACCGGGGGGAATCAGAATGGTGCGGTGATGTACTTCACAGAGGTCCGGTGTGTGGCGGGTGATGGCTTGGATTGTGGATCCTACATCGATGGTTACGAACTTACTTGCGCTGTCTGTACTATCTGAAGTCCTACTAATACATTCCACTTCATTCTGTGTAGTTTGACACAGTTGTCAGTTCTTGTCATGCTTTTAGAACATCTTAGTTTCATACACACGACAGACTGTGATAAAATGTACATTTTTGTTTCATACACATACCAGTAATAAAGTGTAAACCTTAGTTTCATACACATACCAGTAATAAAGTGTAAACCTTAGTTTCATACACACAATATAGTGATAAAATGTCCACCTTAGTTTCAGAAACATACCAGTGATAAAGTGAAAACCTCAGTTTTTACACACAACGGTAATAAAGTGTCTGATAAAATTAGGCCTCGTTTGTCGATGGTAGATATTCTTTTCATTCAGGCAAGAATAGTTCTTTTGCTATAAACCTGAATTTTCTGAAACAAATTAGCTCTCATTTTTACAGAAGTGTAAAACGAAACCTATTGATCGTTAAATGTATATATGAATATAAGAATTTACTTTAATTGAATTGAATTAATTAAACAGACACTGTCTTTATAATTCAAAATGTTTGGAGGTGTACCTAGTGTTGCCCGTAATGTTTGACGGGAACTTGCTTGCTTTAGATCAATTTTATTTGCTTATGGAGATTTTTTGTAGATTTTATGGAGATGTTTCTTAGTCAATTCATGTCATGTCTTTCCATCTGTGCGTGGTCATGCTCAAATAAATACGAAGGCGACATCTTGAAATCTTGATTACCTGTTTATTATTCTACAGAGTTACTACTTGGGATTGATCTACATGTAGATGGTTAATTTTACAGAGCTCACCGGCCTCTTTTCATTATACAAATTGATTGATAATTAAACCGACAAAATCAAACGCAGCCTCAAATAAAGCAGTCAGGAACCCTTGTATTATCTAGGCATTACAATCTCGCAATGACTGTCAAGAAATATAAAGATTCAATGGCAATCTCAGTTGTCCTACCCTATTGTACTGCCTTCAGAAATCAAATTCAGATTACGTAATTTCATTTTTTTTTAATAATTTCTTTTTAAATTCGGTTAAAACATCTCATATATTATACAAATTAAAATAAAACACATGTATTTCAAATATATCATTATCACAATACAAAATGAGGATAAATAAAGTAAGAGTAGAAACCGAGATTATGGATAAAAAACAAAGAAAAAAGACGGACAACATAATAGGTTACTATATCATTCTAATTACAGCACATCCCATTCTTTGCGAAATCTATGCATGGATTTATCCTTATAGCATATATATTTTTCTGTATAAGATATATGTACGTTTGATTTAATTTAATAAGAAATAATTTAAAAGGAGTGAATATCTCAAGATATCTACATAAATACAATTTTTTTTTCTCGCAATAATAATACAATGATTCAATAGAGCATGCTGTTTGTCTTGTGAATACATGTACGTAATTTCATGCTAAAATCAGCTATTCATCTAAAATATATCTCTTTCTCTCTCACTCTCTCTCTTCTATCTCTTCTACATCTTTATGTTCTCCCTCTCTCTATCTCTCTGTTGTCTACATGGAATTTTCAATAATTATATTTCAGTCGGTCTCTCCGTCACACACGCCCTCTTCATTGTTACCCTCTCTATCCCTTCCTCCTACAATGTCTCGAGCCCTATTTAGATATGGATATATCCACGGAAAATGAACACTATTTCCCTCCCCCCCTCCCTCCCACGCGAAGCGCGGAAGCTTTAAGTTTCAGTAAATCATTAGAGAAAGACGATTCGTTGTACCATTCTCGACTCTTAATTTCTTTGAAGGGGGGGGGGGGGGGGGGGGACTCCTGAGAAATGTAAAAAGGAGGTTATAAAATATCTTGAATATCATAGAAAAATTGATCAAATCCCGGGATCAAATTCCTGAAATTCCTGCTAGCTTTGAAAGCTCATTCAGGATTATTTCATTTTGAAAAGTAAAAACATTGGCCCCCAGTCCCCCTCGATCGACTAGAGCTCACCTGAAATGGGGGGGGGGGGGGGGGGTGTGGTACATGTAGCAGTGTTCCGGATTTTTTTTTTTTTTGGGGGGGGGGGGGGCAGGAAAAGGCAGGAAAAGCCAGCGAAAAGCCGGCGAAAGGGGGATTCAGAAACGCTGGCAGTCCTGAGATAGGGTGGGGGGGGGGGGGGGTGCTTTCAAAGGGAGGGAACGAGCATACGCGTTCCCTAAATAACACTAAGTGGGGGGGGGGGGGGAGCCGGGCATCCAATGTTACAGTACATGATTGCACTTTTTAAGCGCTCGCGCGCTGGCGCACTTTACGTCTGGGCTATAATAGGGGCTTTTCGTTTGTGTGGACGAGGACGGCGTTCACGTCCTCTAACGATGCGAATTGGCGTCAGACACCCGTCCTGTTCACTACCTTATAACCCTTTTCGTTTTAAGTCGACCCCCGTTCTCTACACGATGACGTAATGGCCCCCGCACGCGCTTATTCAATTTCTCCTTCTTTCACTTCTTATTTTGTTCTTCGTTAATTATTCTATTATACTCTCTCTATTTTCCTTATGTTATTCTTTGTTTTTCCTTCTTTCATCTTCTCTTCTATCTTTCCATTGTCTATTCTTAATCATTTTCTCTTTCTGTCTTTCCTAATGTTATTGTTGTTGTTATCATTCTATCATTTTTCTTTCTATCTTTCCTCATATTATTCTTTGTTTCTTCCTTCTATCATCTTCTCTTATGTTATTCTTTGTTTTTATCATTCTATCACTTTCTCTTTTTGTATTTCCTTATGTTATTCTTCTTTTTTTTCCTTCTTTCACCTTCTCTTTCTGTCTTTCCTTATGTTTTTCTTTGTTTTTTCCTTCTTTCACCTTCTCTTTCTGTCTTTCCTTATGTTATTCTTTGTTTTTTCCTTCTTTCACTTTCTCTTCAGTCTTTCCTTATGTTATTCTTTGTGTTTTCCTTCTTTCACCTTCTCTTTCTGTCTTTCCTTATGTTATTCTTTGTTTTTTCCTTCTTTCACCTTCTCTTTCTGTCTTTCCTCATGTTATTCTTCGTTTCTTCCTTTTTTTTCATCTTCTCTTATGTTATTCTTTGTTTTTATCTTTCTATCACTTTCTCTTTTTGTATTTCCTTATGTTATTCTTTGTTTTTTCCTTCTTTCACCTTCTCTTTCTGTCTTTCCTTATGTTATACTTTGTTTTGTCCTTCTTTCACCTTTTCTTTCTGTCTTTCCTTATGTTATTCTTTGTTTTTTCCTTCCTTCACTTTCTCTTTCTGTCTTTCCCTATGTTATTTTTTGTTTTTTCCTTCCTTCACTTTCTCTTTCTGTCTTTCCTTATGTTATTCTTTGTTTTTTCCTTCCTTCACTTTCTCTTTCTGTCTTTCCTCATGTTATTCTTTGTTTTTTCCTTCCTTCACTTTCTCTTTCTGTCTTTCCTTATGTTATTCTTTGTTTTTTCCTTCCTTCACTTTCTCTTTCTGTTTTTCCTTATGCTATTCTTTGTTTTTTCCTTCTTCACTTTCTCTTTTTGTATTTCCTTATGTTATTCTTTGTTTTTTCCCTTCTTTCACCTTCTTTTTCTGTCTTTTCTTATGTTATTCTTTGTTTCTTCCTTCTTTCAACTTAATTCTCTTATGTGTTTCTTTGTTTTTATCATTCTATTACTTTCTCTTTCTGTCTTTCCTTATGTTAGTCTTTGTTTTTTCCTTCTATTGTCTTCTCTTATGTTATTCTTTGTTTTTATCATTCTATCACTTTCTCTTTCAGTCTTTCCTTATGTTATTCCTTGTTTCTTCCTTCTATCACCTTTTTTAAAAATGTTATTCTTTGTTTTTTTAATCATTCTATCCCTTTCTCTTTCTGTTTTTACTTTCTGATTTACGCTGCGATGTAGCAAGATGACGTCATTCTGACGACGGGTCACTAGTTTTCTGACGAACCTCAAATCATCGATGAACGGGTTCGCAAATGTGGCCTGACGACGCCAGACGACCCGACGCATGCGCAGATCGCCGAAATGACATCTTATATTTGACGTCGACTATGTCGACGTGACAAACGAAAACCCCCTAATAATACGTTGCAAAATAACGAAAATTATTCTGAAGTTTATGAAGTGATTGTTCGCGCACGTCGTGCAACTACTCTTAATGATCGTGACATACTGTATACGTGTAGCCTATACAGTTATACATACATTAAAAAAAAAAACTCATTTCTCATGCATTATGCTAAAATTGAAACAATCGCATTTTTTTTCTTCTTCTTCTTCTTCCTTTTTTCTCTTTTTGTTTGTAATCTCAGGAGGGGGGGGGGGGGGTATATTTGTACACGCCGCCCCCCTCCTTCGAGCCAGGGGGGGGGGGGGGTGGTGGGGATGCATCCCCCCATCCCCCGGGATTTACGCCCCTGTACATAATTATATCATACTTTCCAAATTTACAATTAAATTTATCAAAAAAAAACCATCACGGACAGAATACTTACACCCCTTTTATACTGAGCGGCGAACTTTAGACCGTTCCTGAAACGGCAACGGCGCTTTATACTGACCGTTCGACCACACACGGCGCAATCAAGATCAGTGCAGTCGTCACGGTAACCTATAGGCCCCCTACCTCCCCTAGATCGCGCGGGCGGGAAAAATTGTTTTGCATTGCTAGCGCGAGAGAGCGGAGCATGCATGCGCTGCAATATGCAGAAGATTGCGTGGCCGGCCGGCCGGGGCGCTGCCCAATGTATTTTGTGTATACAAAAATTATAGTGGGATTCTTATTATTCTGAAGTTTATGAAGTGCTCGTTCGTGCACGTCGTGCAACTATTCTTAATGATAGTGACATACTGTATACGTGTAGGCTATACAGTTATACATACATTAAAAAAAAATAACTCATTTCTTATGCATTATGCTGAAATTGAAACAATCACATTTTTTTCTTCTTCTTCTTCTTCCTTTTTTTTCTCTTTTTTTTGTAATATCAGGGGGGATGTTTGTACAGGGCATCCACCCCTACCTCAAGCCAGGGGGGATGCAGCCCCCCCCCATCCCCCCCGGGATTTACGGCCCTGCTTAAGAGACACGAGTGTCTCTCGAGTTACAGACCGGGCTACAAGCCCATGAGACCGACAGTGAAGGTCTCGTAGGTTCTCTAGAGGGTTCGCTAGACCAACAGCCTTTTGGACCCTCAGTGCTGGTCTCGTAGGCTGACGGCCTAATAAACGAACCTTCAGAAAACGAGCATAATGACGAGTGCCTCCCTCTATTGGTACCATGCCTTTTACTAACCGGTTTGTCTTTTACCATTTGTTGCCTTAAGGCCCGGTCACACAGAGGGGACGCATGGGGGACGCACGGCCGGCGCATGGAAAATTTGTAATTTTGGCCAGTGCGTTGTCGTTCGCAAGGCGTGCGTCATCACTCGTTACTCGTTCGTCGAGCGCGCTGGACCAACGCTGGACCAGCGCTATGCATTCGTCGTCATTCGCTGTGTGCGTCGGGATTTTTTGAGCATGCTCAAAAGTGTGCGCGGAGCTCGACGCATGAATGTACACGCCAAAGTGCGCTAGACCAGCGCCAGACATACGCGGAGCACACGCCCTGTATACGCACAGCGCGCTAGCCACACGCTGTGCATTTTGTGTCAGCTCGCTAGCTTTTCCAAAATCATGACAAAAGTTAGGCACACGGCCTCTTCCGATTTCCAATGCGCTGGCCGTGCGTCGTAGAACGCGGTGCATGCGTGGACCATTCGTCCAGCGCGCTAGCAACACGCTGTGCATTCGTGGAAGTTGTTATCATGTGCGCTCTGTGTACGGTCTGTATGCGCACCGTATGCGCCCTGTATGCGCTCAGCGCGCTCGCAACACGCTATGCATTTGGTGTCAGCTCGCTGTAGCTTCGACAAAAGTTGGGCGCACGACAACGCACTGGCCAGAATTTCCCATGCGCTGGCCGTGCGTTCCCCATGCGTCCTCCCTGTGTGACCGGGCCTTTATGTGAACATCACAGAACATTCATCCAAGACATATATTTTCAAATAAGCAATCTAAGGTCACAGTACTTTATTTCCCTCATCTATAGTTTTGGTGTATTGATATTCAACAATTTATTCTGAGAAAAGAATATGGGCGGTTGAAACTGCATAATAATCCAAGTTTTAGACCATTTTATCAAATCGTTTCGCAAAGTTTTAAGTCTTGGTACCCTTTTTTTTTTGGGGGGGGGGGGGGCTTCTTGTTGTTGTTTGTTGATTGTTAAATAATTTTAGGGAAATTTTAGGGACAATTTTGGTCAGACCAACCTGAACCCTCTCCATTTCAAGAATACGTTGTTTGTCATTTTGCCAGATGTTTGATGTCCCCGCTTTACGTTGAATTAATCGCTGTTTGTCATTTTGCCAGATGTTCGATGTCCCCGCTTTACGTTGAATTAATCGCTGTTTGTCATTTTGCCAGATGTTCGATGTCCCCGCTTTACGTTGAATTAATCGGAGCTTGGTAAAAAGCGGGGAATTCCCTCCTTACTTATGTTACAAGACATTACTAGATCGCTATGAAGAACAGATCCATTAGATTATTTGCTCATGTTTTATTTTTATGTTTTATGTTTTCGTTTGTATCATGTGGAAGGCTCCGTTGGAAAGCAATTTCTTTTAACTGAACCAGACTACCCCCACTGTTTTATCAATTGTAATAAATAAAACATGAATAACTAAATAAATAATCCATCCATATTATTTTAAAATGATTATCATCATTATTCATATGTTTTTTATACGGAAAACCAAACCAAACCAAACCAAACCAAACCAAACCAAACCAAACCAAACTAAACCATACGTTCTCGTTCCCTCTCTCTCTTTCTTTCTTTCTTGTTCTCTCTCTTTCATTTTCACGCTGTTTCTAATAGGAATAATACTTATTTGGTTCATTTATAAAGCGCATTACATTATTTATTTTCTACCTCCCTCAAATTCCTCCCTTTTTTTTTTCTCCATGTGCCAATTTTGTGACTTCTGTTTTCTAATCTCATGGTTTTCGAATCCATACCGATCGATGTGCCTTGAACCACCTACAATTCGGTGAAACATCAGGATCGAATACCCCCTTGCACTACATTATTACTAGACCATCTAAAACAATAATTATGTGCTCCTCAGTTATTGGTAAAGTGAAAACAATCACTGTCGGGTCACCAAGTGAAAGGCCTGTGTAGATTCATTTTTAAACTCTGTTACTAATAATATGGGGTAAAATATTACTCTGGCAAAAGCTGATAAAGTTAGCATATATTAGTCTTTTCCCTAATTCATCATCATCGTCATCATCATCATCGTTTATTAAAGTAAGCATTTTATCTCTTGCGAGGGGTTCTTCTTGTCTTGGGCATCCTCCTCATTTAGACCAACGGTATTGATTTTTTCCCCTTAATATCTTCACATGTAAATATTTTCACAATCTTAAATGTAACTAGACCACGCTCTGTTGGTAATGTTTTCTAGACAGGAACGTGACGGGAATTTTTTATTTCTTCCTGTATTCTTGGAATCAGCGCGATACATGATATTTCCACATAATAAAGGTAGGGGGAGTTGGAATTCTCAAGAAGGCAACTCGCAATTCACTTTCATTCGTTTTATCTTCAAACTGGAAGTCCTTTATCTTTCTGAAAACTCTCTGCTTGGCGGTAAATCTTTCTGCTGCTTCTGCAACAAAGTTGTGGAACCGTCTTCCTCATACCTTCGATCTTTCAAGGAGATAATATAGGCTCTCGTGACCTCCTATACTTTCAAAACCCACATCTATTCCATATACAACTAGTCACAACCCCCATCTTTTCCAGGTAGATCATGGACGACATTTTAGTCTCATCCGTCAGTCCATATGAGTAGGCAGCTAGGTATTGGCGGTTTACACGTTCTCAGATTGGATTGGATAACTTTCTGACAAATCTTTCACTCCATCGAGATTTATTTAAAAAAAGGAAAAAATGCATTAAAGGTAACAAGGTGTTTTTTCCTTTAAAATGCTCCTGTTCAGACAGCTGGAGCCAAACAGAAATAGAAATAGAATCATACTTGACCTTGAGTTGTCAAACATTATTACACATGTTTAAAGTTTGCAAGTGAAAGGGTGACTGTCTGCATTTACTTATACACACCTATGCCCTTGCCCCTTTCACATTGGATGTCTAGCTAGCCTGTTCTGAGCTTTAGCTCAGCTCTGTTTATATTGGTTCCGGAGAAAAACTCACATAATATACAGCCCATTCGTTCTAACCAGGGTCATCCCCCTATTCTGACTCTTTATCATCCAGGATATTCCTGGTATTATCATCAGCCTCTTGGCGGGGTTATACGAGGGATGCCGAGCTATCCCGAGAGGGTTCCTCGAGTTCACAAAGGGTTGTGCAGCTCGGGTTCCTCCTTGGTACTAGCCTTTAAACAAGGCCACTTGTCTGATAGACGCCGAGCGACTAAAACGAGACTAATCGCGAAAACCCAAGTGAACGCGAGAGCGAGACGTTCCGTCACTCGGTCGCGCGTTCACTCCGGGTATCTAGACTCATCTCAGCCGCTTAGAGTCACGAGGCCTTGTCAAAAGGCTACCTTGGCACCAATTCGGCGAAAAGTGGGAGGGGCTAAAGTGTTATAAATACCGAAGCCAATCCGCTCCTCAGACACTCGAAGTCGGCACGCACTCATCTTCTCATCACAGATTGCAGAAAGTCTCCGATAGAGCTTCACTTTAGAAGAAATTGTTAAAACAATTCTCCCAGCTTCTATCAACTCACTTTTCAAGATGAAGCCGTTCTTTGTCATCACTCTAGTTCTATTTCCATGTCTGTGTCTTGTTGGAGTCACCCAGGCCGTTGCTGTTTTAAAGGAAGGAACGCAAGAGGAAGGTGAGGTTTTGGGGCAGGTTTTATTTCTTGCTACTCATCACTGTACAAATTCTACTATTGATGTCTTGTACACAATTGCCAAAATGGGGTAGATATCCTCTTAAATAACAACATCATTGGGGTTCATTTTGAATAGTGTTGTGGGGAATCTATTCCCAACCATGCACCGTCATCTTGGCAAGAGATAATAAACTTGATTTAATCGAAAACTTTGATCTACAAGATCATTGTCTGGTGTATGATTTTAAATATGTCTGTATTAATTGCGATTGGCTAATCGCAAGTTTCTAGTTAAGCAAGGGACATAATGAGAAAGTTTAATTAGTTTTTGAATAAAATATATTTTAGTCAGTTGCTTTTTATTGTTGATATAGTTGATATTAAGATACAGATTGTGATTCTACGTTTATGGAAATATTTCATTACCGGAAATTGTTTTTATTCTCTCTCTCTCTCTCTCTCTCTCTCTTCTCGCATGTAGCTTTTGACCCTGAAAACATTCTAGATTCAGGAAAACTGACCCAAACAGAAGAGGATAAAATCTCTGAAATTAGAAACCAAGTATTGTTCCTTCAGGTATGTACAACTATTAACAAGTATACACTTTTGCATTTCACATAATTTGTATGAAATCGCACTAAAGTTAATAGGCCACATGTGAAACGCGCACATACGCAAACGCGCGGGGGGGGGGGGGGGGGGAGGGGAGGGGGGGGGGGGGTACACCCCGATCGCCAATGTTCCATGTTGGACACGAGTTGTCATTCGATTGCGTAAGTAGCTAAACAACCATGTGAATGCAATGAGTATAGCGAATTCAATACGATGTGTTTACTGTTAATTCTGCATTAGTGGCTAAGTCCACTCCAAATTTGCAGAAAAAACAAGAGAAACAGAGGACACGAACATTGAGTAAAATCGGATAACTAATATGGAAGTTTTTATTCTTTTTTTAAAGTATGACCAACTATGAAACTTAAAAAATCACTACACTAAATGTCAATTTTGTTATTAGTTTGTGAGGTCATTGCCACTATTCATCGATTGCTTTATATATTTGTATCCCATTTACGTCCCTTTTTATCCCCCAAAACTTGATTTCCCCATGCCTTTACCCAGGTTATATGATTTGTATCACATTGTGTACATGGCATTTCACAAAATATTTTATGAACTTTAAAGTATTTATACCATTTCCTGAATATTGTATATTCATAATCATTGGTTTCTGTATAAATAGTTCATTTCACGATTTAACTAAAACAAGATTACTCTATATTATTGCATCCACACAAAAACATATTATTATCAATATAACTTGGTTGCTGGTGGGTGGAACTAAGATTTTTAGGGGGAAAATTGGAAATTTATATCATCAATATAAAGAAATCAATTGGTAAATAGTGAGGCAATGACGTCATAGACTCATGAGTGAGTTGCCAATTTATCTTGTGATTTTCAAAGTTTTTCCTGTCATTAAAAATTAATAACTTTCTTTTTAGTTATCCGATTTTGTTCAAACTTATTTTGATTGGTTTGGCCGATTTTTCTGCTTGTATTGAAATTAAGTTATTTCTGGAGTGAACCTGCCCTTAAAGTAGTTCCCACCTCATATGGCACCTAAACGATGCACGCCAGTCGCTACCCGCAGTCCGACCGTGTCTTAATGTTTAGGTCCTAAGTCAGTCGAGTTAGTTCACTATTGAATTCCTCAAACATCAAGAATCAACCTTTTAATCATTTGAAACGTGTTACATTTCAAAATGGAAATGGAAAATCAATTTCGTCAAGGAATGAATATCTTAATTTTAATTCACGACTCAATGGATAAGAATCTAAGTTTGCAAGATGGTTATAATGCATTATGATTTCATATGGGACAACTCTCTTTTTTGATTTTTTCAAGAACGTGTTACCTATATCATTTCTAACAGATTTGAGGGACTATTTTATTTAAAAAGGTGTAATTTTACAAATCTCTTATAGATCATCTTTTAGTCATCGTCTTTTTTTAAAAATAGTTGAATCTTCCAAATCTACTACTATTATTCTAAGGCGGTCAGAATGCGGTCAGAAGGCATCAGTACATTGAATGTGTTTTGGGCCAAAGTGCCCATATAGTCTACCGGCCAGATGTCGTTGGGTTGAAAGACATGTTTCACCAGATAACGGTTCACTGTCACATTTGAAGAGTAACTTAATTCCACTGTCTTAATCACAGAAAATAATATCGAGGGTACGTTTTAGTGATTTAAAAATAAATGTGTATCTTAATTTTTAAACCACACAATCATGTAGGAATCCGTTGCTGAGATCACCCGTTCCTTTTCAACTCTCGAGCTCGTGACGAAGAATCCATCAATGATGGCCAAGATTCACATTCCTGACTCTGTCGAGACCGATCCTGAGCTGGGAGAACCTGAAAAGACACGACGTCGAAGGGAACTCGACTCGCCATCGACTTTCCCGACATCGGTCCCATCATATGGCGCCCAGCAGCCTAGCCTGGGTCAGAACCCATTCGGACCCTACTCATGGCCTATGTATTCTGGTAAGAACAACAGGGTCCTTTTTCATAAAACTTGTAATCAATAACAGATTCTTCTACTTAATGACAAATTTCCTCTCAGCCTAACAAATGCAACAAATTCAGAAGTTTATAAAAGTTACTGTTATTTGTTATTCATAAGGTTTATATGAGAATGAAATTCCAGAGCCCTAGGTCAAAGTCCGCAAATATGAGACATCAATGCTCGAAACTACATATGTATGCGTCAACGAGAAGGGGGGGGGGGGGATACCAATAGAACGTTAAGACGTAGACCATTATCATCTACTTTGAGAATAATTTTCAGACAAATCTAATTTGCTTTAAATGTAGTATTATGCAGACATATTACTCAAGCCTCGCAGATCATTAAACTCAATTTGAAATAAATATGCTCTTTCTTCTTTAGGTCAATGTTTCCTGTGTCCTGCTGGTGTTCCTGGACAAAGGGGTCCTCTAGGGCCACAGGGGAATGCCGGAAGGGACGGGAGAGACGGACGGGATGCACCGACAGGTCCACAAGGTAGGTCTATAACGACATCTATCTGACACGATATGGCACGACATGCAGAGGTTGTAGAACATTCATAATTGTGATATTGTAATAATTCAAGCCGGAATGCATGGCTAGTGAAATAATAATTCAAGTTATAGGAAAACACTTCGGATACTGTAACTCCTGTGTCCTCTCTGGCCAGTTAAGCAATTAAGAGATACCATAACACTTTATTAGAAAATACTATATGGAGTCGCATAGTTGGGAGGTCAGTCGTATTTGTTTTGTTATCACATTCTTATGTAACAACAACCGCCGCTTCCAATAAAAGCCTACTTATTAAAGTGGAAACAACAAAATGTAATTAGTCATTGAAATGATGGTGAGAACATGAATGGGGCAAATTACACCCACATTAATTTGTCGTGTGTTAGGGTAAATTGAATTTACTACAAGGGATAATATCCCTTATATCACGAGTATAAGTTATAGATTCCGAACTTCTAGAATAAAGTTTATTTTTGTCCATTGATTCCAATAAAACTTCTGAATGTTTAACATTTTAGCTCAAGACACCCCCACTTCACCAAGTGACGAAACAAACCCAACTGAATCCCGCGATGATGCGGTAGTGCGTCCAGTAGGTAACATGACAAGTCTACCTGGTGTCATCTATACTCGCTGGGGCAACGATGTATGTCCCGAAGATGCAGAACTCATCTATTCAGGTTGGTACAGATGGGTAATATCACATAGAAAGAAAACGCTAAACATGGTTTTGACATGATCGCAAGAACTTTCTGAAAATCAACCACAGGCAATTTCAATAGTCTTATCCGTCTGTCACATTTGAATGTGGGAACACTTTAAAGTATTACAAACAGGATGGGACACACAATAGGGTATGAAATATTCTCGGGTTAATTTTTTGAAAATCTTTGCAAGGTACTTGTTTCGATGTGAGTGTATTCTACAATACATCTAATGTTGTGCATCAAAAAATTCTTCATCACCACGAACAAAACACGTGCCTTTAGTAGCCTCACTGGCTGAGACTTAAGTGCACAAGAATGGTTGGGTGTTAAGTGAATGCACAAAATATAGCAAATCCTCTGCGTTATTGTAATGTTTGACCCATTTCTTTACAGTATATTCAAGATATAAAAGAAATATGATAATGAATGTCAGGAAATAACAAAGAGATGATTATCAAACATTCACTAATGTTCGAATAGTACTAATTGGTATATTGCGCAACTAACCGTCCCAGGAGATGCTCAAGGGTCCTACAAGTATTACAATCGTACTGGCTTTGGCCCAGCTGCCCTGAAGCTCAAAGAAGCCTTTCAGGATTTTTTAAAAGAATTAATTCTTACCAGGTACCCATTTACTAGACCAAGGACGACAGTGCCGAATGTAGATTAATGTATTGCCAAAATCCTATTAATGACGATACTCGAACCGCAAACCATCTGATCCACATTCCGGTAACGTACCCGCTGTGCAGATGGTTTGGCAAATGAGCTATGTAGAGAGCTGTAGAGATGTCGTAGATTATGTCACCAGGCAGTATATCATTATGGTTCGCTGCCCCAGCCCCGTACTAATGTCCTTCGCCAAGATATTAATCTTCAGTTGCTACTCTCCACCCAGTATTCCTTTAATGTTCTCTGGAGTTTCCTTCAGTGGTTGGCATTGGTCCCACATCATGCTCAATTTCGATTCTGATGAATTTGTACTTAAGTGGGTTTACCTTTGTTTGTGTTACATTGCTTTATTCAGGTACTATTGGAGGTGCACACTACACTCATGCTGGTAGCGGCTCAAATCATCTCTGCATGCCGGAAGAGCCTATCTATGACGAAGTAGAAACTTCCCTACACGGTGAACGAGCCCTATTATACTCCTCTGAATACCAAGCCAGTACTTCTCCTTCACGCATGCAACCAATGCATGACCAGACTCCGACCTGTGCAGTCTGCAGGGCGCCCTCTGGCCGCACCAGCAAACTTATGATTCCTGCCCGCAACGTGTGTCCTTCTCAAGAGTGGCGTTTAGAGTACGCTGGTTATCTTATGGCAGAAAAATACGACCACAAGAGATCGGAATTTGTGTGTGTGGACCGAGAGATGGTTTCTAAAGCGGGTACCCACGGGAATCAGAATGGTGCGCTGTTGTACTTGACAGAAGTTCGGTGTCAAGTGGGTGATGGCTTGGATTGTGGACCCTACATCGATGGTTACGAAATTACTTGCGCCGTCTGTACTATCTGAAGTCCTATATAAATACTTCTTCATTTTGTATATAACTTGGCACAGTTTTCAGTTCTTGCCATGCTTTTAATATACCGTAATTCCATACACACAACGGGTCAAAACGTGTCTGATTAAATTAGCTTAGTTTGTAGACATGTCTCTGAATGTTGTATATCGCATACAATAGTCATGATGCAAATTGTATTAATTAATTTTTGCTAGCCTTGTCCTACCGAACAATATGTCTGATATTCGAATTCTGACTATTGAAATAAAATTATTTGCAACAGGTGAATAAGATATATTGCAACCATGGCACTTAACAAAGATTTGCGCATTAAATTTGATTACATTACGAATTTTTCTTTTGGCTAACTGTTTGGTATTTGGAAAATATTTAAGATCATGTTGTTTGACGTTACACATAACATATTGCATTAACGCCTGCGTGGTTCGATAGGGAAAATGTAGGCAAAACGGTTTGCCAGAGGTAGGATCGAACCCGGGGCCTCTCGCATGAGAGTCAAGAGCCTTTATCAATTTATATCACAGTGCTTTCACTATGTATATGGGTTCTGGTACTTTAAATAATAACAAGTAGTTATATTTCTGGTTTCTCTTATTCCCACGTATAGAAGAAGATCACATTTGCAGCTAAACGTTAAACAGATTTATCTTGAAATGTCCCGTTACAGCTCGAATAGATGTATATAAACATATATATATATATATATATATATATATATAATATATATATTACATATCCCTCTTTTGACGCCGTATGGTGTTGAATCTGATGTGTGCAGTGCTTTTAAAAATTTAATTTATCTATACGATTTACAGTGAGATTAAGTCAATTTTTCTTGTACTCTTTGGGCTTTACAATTTTCCCACAATAAACGATAGTTATTTGGTCTAATTTGTTCTTATGTACACTTTGCTCTTTTGTCCTTCGCCCTGTATTACGTGTATAGAGATGTCGTCCACTTCCCCTTCCTGGTGATTCATCCTATGAGGGAGAGAGAGAAGGTAAAGGGGAGAGAGAGAGAGAGAGAGAGAAGAGGGGAGGGAGAGAGAGGGATAGAGAACGTTAAGAAGAGAGAGATAGAGAGAGAGAGAAGGGGGAGGGAGAAAGAGAAGGGAAGGGAGAGAAAGTGAAAGAAAGAAATGAGAGAGACAGTAACAGGGGGAGGGGGAGGGAAAGAAGGAGGGGTAAAAGCTACTCTGAAAAGTATTTCTAGCTAACATTTAACCTTAATTTGTTTGGAGCTAGACGGGCCTTCTGGCTCCAAACATACGTCTATTTTTCCGAACATATTCTCATGCGACAATTGCTCCGGATATTTATCTCGTCAAAAATAACCGGTTAGGGTTAGGGTGAGGTAATTGTAGTGAACATCCCCAATCGCAGAGCAATTGTTGCTGTTTAGCAAACTATCAACCCTGTTTGAAACCCAACATAAACATTATAAACCGAAAGAGGGTTCTCAGACAAAATTATCCCACAGCGACATTTGCCCCGGTTTCTTCCGTCAAAGATGACCAGGTAGGGTAGGGTATTTGGTCCAGGGTTGAAGTTAAGAATTCCGTTTAAAAGTGAGCAATACCCCGCCCCCCCCCCATTCAGAGGTCGGAATGACCGCATGCGTGTTGCCATACGCGCCTGTATGGGACACCATTTTATAGAACCAAGTATGTTATAGTTGAGACTATCGGTTATTATAAATGCACAGCTTGCTTTAGAACAGAACAAAATAAACTAACCAAATTCACTTTGGTACAAATTCACTTTGCCGTACATTGATGGGGTCTCCCAACAACTCAAGCGCCGCCTAGAGAGCCATGGCATTCGAACGGTTTTCAGATCAGATACCACCCTACGTCAACAACTTACACGCCCCAAGGATCCAATTCCTCCACATAGACGGGACGGCATTGTGTACAACATCCCTTGTAAAGGATGTGATAGATCCTACATCGGTGAAACTGCCCGTCCGATAAAAGAAAGAATCACTGAGCATAAGAGGGACGTCAGACTCCGTCGAACTGACAACTCAGCCGTAGCCGAACATGCTTGGGATAACCAGCATCAACCAGACTGGGACGGGGTCCAGTGCCTTTCCCGGGAACGGCATTGGTATACACGGTGGGTAAAAGAAGCTATCAATATCCGTCTCAATCCTAATAATTTCAACAGAGACAACGGGATCGATATCCCCGAATTTTGGATGCGGACGATACGCCGCCATGACACTCACCGTCCTGCCAGCCAACACCGGTCGATTCCAGCGGCTCGTTGATTGGTCGAGTACCGTATGCGTCGGCCAATAGGCCTGGTGCATTAGCCGAACCAGCGGCCGAATCCAGCGGCCTGGTGATTGGTCGATCACCGTGTGCGTCGACCAATAGGTATTGTGCGTTATTGTTCCAATTATCGATCGAATTATGGACCGCTCCGCCGGTCCTCCCGTAGAGTATAAAAGACCCTTGCTTACAGTAGTTATTATCACCAGACGAAGTATTGCAGATGCGTACGAAACGTCGTGAACTTTTAGATTCCTTATTGACCACATTGCGAGACAAACAAATATCACTTGCGATATTATTTTCGATACAAATTCACTTTAATTACTATATTCCAAATGTTGGAGAACATATCATTTAGGACTCATAGCCAAGAAGTGTTATTGTTGTAGAAAAGGAGGAAAGAAGGAGGAGAAAATACAGTAGCATAAATGTTATCTGGTGTATTTTATACTGAATTACGCAAAATTGACACAGTTCACAGATAAGTTGACTGTGTATTGTTGTGTAAATGTAGATATTCCATTGGGTATAAACTAGTTCATTTTAGACAAATTTATCTTTTTATTTGTAAAAAAAAAACGTCACTCTACAAGGTTTGATGGAGCACATTAAAGTATACACTGGAGTATAGTCTGAAAAATAATGGACAAAACTACTTCACTGATCTCATTCAGGTAAATTGATTCACCATTTTCTATCATTCAAATTTTTACCTGCACCTGTGCCATGAAAATGCATCAGGAAACTCTCTGACTCCATTCCAAGATTCAATTTATAGACTACATAATATTGTTGTACACGACTGTATATTGAAATTAGATAAGATGGATTGCTGTGTTTAATTGCAATTAATTTCACAGTGCACTATTTCAGTTACATCATCAATCCTAATGATAGTTGAAGACTATAATCAGATTAAAGCTATTCACCATTATATCAATGTTTTGCTAATACTTGGTATCTGTTATTAAAATTAAGTAGGTATTAGAAGAATAGTGTATTCGGATATTCGTTTGGACTGTTAAGCTTTTTATTATTTCAAAGTAGATGTCAATTTTTAAAGCCTGAAATCATAGTTTCAAAATGTCAAAATGACATTGTGAGGCAACTTCGGGAATTCAAAGATCATGACAATACCTCCAACCCAAAACCGCTCGTCATGCTTCCCTCTACCCACCCCCCCCCCCCACAGGTTCACAATGCCCTTGGTCTGACTACTAAGTTTGGGGAAAGCTACAGCTATGGCCTACCTCACACCTAAAAAAGACTATGAAGTCATGATCATCAGTCCGATGGCTGGTAAAGATTTTATCAGTTAAGGGACTTGGAGCAAAGTTTACTGTACTAAGTCTATGCTAAAAACTCAGGACACATTTTTATAACACATTACTTATATAGCTGTCAACTACTTACAAAGTACATTGAGGAAAACTAGACTCACATATGATCCTTCAAGTGTTTCGCTGTACGGACAAACCAGTGACTCATCAATTTGAGTAAGGGTGACTCACTTTTTGTTGTGGGTGCATCATGACATAGACCCCCCTACTCCCTAGGCCTATCACACACATACCATACCATGCCAGAGTCACTGTCCACATTTGCAATGGAAAATATATCCTAAAATATCACATTTTAGCGATGTAATCGGTGGTCCCGCTACCCGAATCTGAAAAATCTACTTTATACGCACTAAATTAAGCCTTAACTTGAGATTTATTTGTCACCCATACTGTCACGAAACAATCTTGAATTGATTCGTTTTACATCAAATAACAAGGATCTAGGAGTTTCGTTGTATAAAACAATGATGCAAGATCATGCATGTTTTCATTCGACACGGCTTCGTGCGATACAGTAGAATCTATACACTATGAACATGACTGACAATGAGAGCGGACAAAATATACAGTTCCTCAGGTAGACAAAGGAACATCCCTTCACAGCTATTATGTAAAAAGGTGAATATGCATGTGACACCTGTTCTACACATTTTTACATAATAGCAGTAAGGGATGTTCCTTTGTCTACCTGAGGAACTGTATATTTCGTCCGCTCTCATTGTCAGTCATGTTCATAGTGATAGTTAAGTTACACACAGCCTCATCAACTCGAGTGCGGATATCGTAAAATGAACGCATGCATCATTTGTATAATAATCAGAAGATTCAGCCCACGAATCCAGTCATAAAAATCATCGTTTAAAACCATATGAATAATTATGCGTACCAATTTTTCACTAGCTGCAGTCAAAACTCTTCTGAATCCAAGATATAAGATGGCGACGTCGCGTCGTCGATCGGGAATTCAAATATGGCTCTAGAATGCGCATTTTGGATGACGTCACGAAAGCATGCGCGCGCATGCATACAGCCTCACTTTCAAGTTGACTCACTTTTTTCTTCTAAAATGCTCTTATGTCGATCTTGACTCATTTTTTACGACCATGTGAGTCAGTCGAAGCATTTTGCAAATGCGTCAGCTCATGATTGACACACTGGTGAAATATAAATGAGTCAATAGAGACTCATTGGTTGTTACTAATGAGTCAATTTACACCTGACTCACGAAAATTATGCTTAAATGTGTCAAATGACTCACTTTTTGTTGTGGGTGTAGCAACTAGCCACCTTATGAAGAGTGTAGCGCGAGCTTGTTACGAATAATGCGAGACAACGAATTCACCTCGAGTAACAACGAATCAGTGAAAATTTTGAACATGTTCAAAATGTTCGGTGATTCGTTGTAGCTCGCGGTGAACTTGTCTAACACTTGTAATATACTCGTAGCAACTCGCCACCTTATGAAGAGTGCACCGTGAGCTTGTTACGAGTAATGCGTGTATGTTACGAGTGTAGGCGAATTACAACGAATCGGGGAAATTTTTTGAACATGTCCAAAATTGTGGAACTGCTCTCGACTTCGAGGAGAGTCGTGGAATGTTGTAAAGAGTTACGCTAAAGCCATACCGAATTGTTCGCGAGTTATTGCGAGTGCCTCTTTGCAGGCAACTCACCACAACTCGCCATAACTCGCTAAAACAACTCGTCTAAGTGGGAGCCCAAATCAGAGGACATACCAGCTGTTGCAAGAATCATCAGTAGAGGGCCTCCTACTAATCCAAGGAATGACATCAGTGCGATTGAGCTTTTTACCGTAAGTTCATCCTGGTTTGTTTATTTTTTACATCGATATGCGTTTTGATAAGGAAGTTGAAGATCTGAAGGTTTGAGCCCTTTCCAAAAACAATGTAATTTAGGATCATTGCTCGACGTAAATGCACTCCACATTTGGCATTCAAAGATCCTGGATTACTATCTTCTAATTCAAAAGACTGAATATAACCCACTTGCTCATCTTAACACGTCAAACTAAAATAATAATAATAATAATAATCTGGAT